CAAGTTAGTTGCACATGAACGATTTTTTCGAAACCCGTGCTGGACTGGGGATAGTAGGCCATTCTTCTCCAGGTGATCCATTAACGAATCTGCAACAAAAGATTCCATGACTTGGGACAACACTGGGAGGAGCGTGACGGGTCGGTAGTTGGCTGGGTCACTACGGTAGCCACCTTTGTAAATTGGTGAAATGACACCGTTTTTCCACACCTGAGGAAGCACGGTATCTTCAAACAGTTTTTGGTATAGCCCATTTAGAGGATCGGCTGTGACTTGCCAGAGTGATAAGGGCTTGTGAATGGATGTTATCTAAACCCGGTGATGATTTCTTCTTCAAAGCCAGGAGCTTAGCTTTTACCTTTTCGGGGGAAAAGATAATGTCCGTTAGTAATGGGTAAGGAATATGTTCCAGCAAACGGGGAAGTACGAACCCAGTGTTACTGGGCACATTGACCACTTCAGAGTACTGTGGCTTCAGCATTTCTGCAGCCTCCTTGGTAGTCGCTGAAACACGTCCCATCATCTCACATAGCTTAACTGACATCCGTTTATACTCCAGAAAAGGAGATTCCGTTTTAGAAAACGGTACTCACGAAGAAAGTTATTTTCTATCTATCGCATTAGGTATTTACATATATAAAGAGACCATTGTACAGATATTTGATTGGCTGGTTACAGTTCAGCTTTTAACGATAACACAGGTGAGCAAGCAAATGTGTTCAAGCTAGCGGTAGTCAATGCTAGAGTCGGTGTGCTGAAAGGATAAAGGTCAATTGAGAGAGAGATGGGTCAGTTAAAATGTTGATGAAAGTTGTGAGCCAAGGCTAGAGAGCGTGGTGATGTTACGTAAGATACACGAGAAACGATGTCACGTATGACAAGTGATTAATTCCTGAAGAGACTGTGGAGAGAAAAAACAATTATGATTGCCGTGGGTGAGTGGTGGAGGATCTATGGTCTGCTTAAGTACAAACGATCCGCAGTCCAGACCAGAGAATCAACAATGTCTGAAAGATTCCCATCAGAAGGAATTACTGAAAAACAATTATTTCGCCAAACTGTTTCTTCTAAATGTCTGGACAAGCTGATTTTGCTTGCATAGTTCGGGGTTAAAAATGTGAATTGTAATCGCTTCATCCGCGGTTAAAAGGTGCCTGCTTATTTCTTTGGCATATATTCGGGGTATAGTGTGAACTATTTCGAAGTCATTCAAAAGGTTTACAATATGTCCGTTATCGACGAGACCACCGAGATCCAAACTGCGAGTGCACCTAACCGTTCCTTTGCAGAGGGACGCGGGACAGTGGTCAGCCATAGGTTTTGATAATCGTCTGGTCGTGTGTCCGACGTACCACACACTACAAGTGGAGGCGGCAAAGGTATAATTCGACGGATTTGGACTGATGAGAGATCATCTTTTGTGTGCCCGAACATTAAGGGCTGAGTGGTAGTGAGAGTATCTGGTTAAGCTGCAGGGAAGGTTCTAGAGATCACTTTAGATAGAAGTCCACTGAGAAGGCATCGCCGCCCTTAAACGAAGCGGTGATGAAACCGTTCTTGTGAGTAGCGGTATGGTTTTTGACTACGTTGTTCTTCAATCGTATGTTTATCAATAAAGGCTTATGAGTGACCATTTGACCGAGGCAAGTCATAAATAAAACGTATCTCGGACTGCATTGCATTTTCACTGCAAATCGCACACGCTCGGTATGATAAACGTCTGACAAGGTTGCGTTTGTATTTCAGCGGAACAAAGCTACAAAAATGCGTTATTGTACGGAAAACGCTTCTTCGGATGGCACCGCCGTCCCGCTTTGTTCACAAAACATCTAAGAAGGGCAGTTGTCCGTTTCTCTCTAATTCACATGTGAAACGAATAGCCGGATGACATCAATTGAATTCTTTGGAAAGATGTGAGTGACTGCTGTGGGAACCACAAACGGTAAAATTAATGTCGGGGTATCTGCATATACGTCGAAACGTCTCTTTCAAATTTGCGTTCTCCAGATTGGCCAGAAAAATCTCTGCTAGTATGAGACCTAATGGAGATCTCATTACTAACGAGTCGGTTTTCCTGTAGAACTGGCCATCGTACAAAAAGTGTATGTTAAATGTACATTTGAGAATCAGCTCTCTCTCTTTATTCACCAGAATTCCGATATGAATGTTGTTAGATAAAGCTGTGCGTTTGTAAACAAGGATTCCACGGTGAGGAATGTCATAGTCATGTTGAGGACATTGAGGTTTACTATCTTCTCTAAACGTATCCTTCAGCGTACTGGTTCTAGAATTTCCGTGATCCATCAGGCGATACCATGATATGCAGAACTTGACATCACAATTATAGGTCGTATTGGGACATTTGGTTAACGAACCTTCAGTAATCTATAGAGCTGCGGCGGTGAGAAACCAATAGGATCAAGCTTTTCGAAAACCGCCAGTAATATGACCTATCTCGGTTTCTTTCATAACGGATGTTAACATAGACGCCGTTTACACTGGCATGATTTTCTCATGTGGTCTAGTGGAACATTTGGTAGTCTCTGAGGATGTTCTTCAATTTTGAGTGGTAATCAGCTTTATCGAGTTACATCCAGGTCGTCCGTTTGTTCGGCCGAGACATTATGATATCCTTATTTGAAGTAAGACGTTTAATGGCGTGAATGTTTCCTTGTCAAACTAGTCTATGTCTAGGTTTGTGTGCTGATAGTGGTGATATTGGTACCCAACAGCTGTCTTGAGTTGATCGACTAGGTGAGCGTGATCAGGTGCATGAAGCTCTCAAACTGTGTCTCTATCTCTCTGTCTGGTGATATTTTATTTTAAAGGAACAAAATTTAGGACCTAGGGACAAAACTTACAACAACTTCTTATCAAGCAGAACGGATAATAAATTGTTCACATGCATTTCGGGATAGTTGGGTAATCACACCTGAGGACTGCTGGTCTTGAGTCTGTTGACGAGTTCCAGAAGCAACCCGAAAGTCACCATTCGTTTTCGCTATCTTCCCTCCCCAATACTTTTTTCTTAGGCTTTCTTGTTTCTCCTCTTGCCGTTTTCAATATACTTCAGTTCGCTTATTCAATAAAAAACACTAGACATCTTCAACTTGTGTTGCCCATTCGAAATTCTGTTTGTCTGTAACGGTGGAAAAGCACTTCCACCCATCCAGAAGAAACGATCGTGCAAGTCTGAAGACTTAGATTCTGTCAATCAGTATGCTTACTTGAGCAATATTGAGTTCAACCGCCTCTTTGAATCTTAAGCTATCCGGCTTCTTCAATGTTACGAGGTATCGAATTGCTTTGTGGGACCAGAGCCAGAACTCCGAATTTCGCTGTGGTTCTTTCAGCGGAAATTCCTTTATAATTGGGAAACAAATAAGGCTTATTATTCATGCTGAGTGATCCCCAAATAATGTACAAAATAAAAATAATCCTATCAGCATTAAAGCCAATTTTGAAATCACGATTAGTTGGGGGATGAGACGTTATATTGTCATTACGGTAGTGGAGCAACGAACCAGTAAAAGCCGAAATTCTCGGTACCTCAGTGTAGGGGAAAGGAATCAGATTTTAAGGACAAACAAGCTTGAATTTGACATAATAAATCTTGTCCAATGTTTCGATGCAAAGGGGGGCACTAATTGCACGATAACAGACGGAAAAGCAGTTACAAAAAACGACTATGAGGGTGAAAACCTAGGTACATTGAAACAAGAAGACTTTCTATTCCGATTGTCGAGGTGCTGTTTACATTTATGAGTAGTATACAACATAGTGCGGTTGACGGTTTTCTTTAACGACCAAAATTAACAGGCCCAGTGAGGGAAAGTTGCTGTATTTCAAAGAATAACTATGGACTGCACCATTCATTACCCGGTGTGGTGCCGGGAATCGACACATTTTTCAAATCACATATCTGTTATATGTCTGCCAAATCATTGATATCCCAACTGTACTCTATAATAAACAAGTTCCCTCGACCGAGCACCGCCTTGTGGATTTATAACACGATCACCCTTAAAATCAGTGTAGAAAAAACCATCCACGATCAGGTGGAAAGATGTTCTTTGCTACCCTGATTCCCTTCTGCAAAGATGAAAATGGCAGAAGAGATAGGCAGTTGCGTACATGGCTCCAGCACATCCTGTATTGGGTTGGACGCCGATTGACCAAATCATATGATCCAACGGCCATTCTCCAATTTGACCTCTCGAATCCACATACACGCATCACAAACACATTCAGTAACATTACACTACTACCAACCCCCACCCTTACCCAAGAACACAAAACAATTGTTGATGATGAATCATAGCCCGAATCCAACAAGCCAATTTAAGAACAGGAATGCTAACACCAACCCCCGACAGTTTCAGCTTTCGGAGTCGGTTGCAATCAGAACACGGAAACCTGGTTTGTGTGTGTGCAAACGAACTGTCAGTCACACGGACACTGCCCCAGCAGTGATAAGTATGACACGTTCCTGTCGTATTCGTGTCTAATCTAATGTACTGCTCAACGATACAAACTGTAGTTTTCTGCCGTATTGTACCAGTTGGGATGCAGCGAAATGTGCCTTGACAAAAATCGTGCAACCTAGCTTCGTTGTGCTCTCTCTTCAAGTTTATATCAGGAAATGAATGTTTCAAAGATGAAAATATCTGAAGTGCGTCACACGAACGTAAACGTCGATACATGTGGCAATGGTTTCGCATTAGTTTTTTGGAATAGGATAGGTTAAATTTTGATTGAATCAACGAGATCTTCATTAGCGATCAGTAAAAATACTTATTAGGATAACAAAAACGACCCAAACCAGCAGCTAATCGAGGTTGGAAGACAAACTCATGAGCAATGATATGTATTTAATGAGAGCAGCGTAAAAAAGGGTTATGAAAAAGGCGCTCGGAAATTTCCGGAAATAGGTGCAGATTAAAGATATCGTCAAAAGAAAAAAATGATGTAACCAGATGTTGAAACAAGTCACAGAAAGACTAAACTATTTCGTAGACCACGACAGATCCACTCTGTGTTCCGACAATCACTTGCATGGTATTCTCATCTAGTGATTGCAACCGCGTGATGCGTTCCCCGGTTGGACAAATGCCACTCTAGGGTAAACATGATAAAATATTGATTAGTTTGTCTCGGCATCGGTATGTAGTGTACATGCCATCAATTGAATAAACTGACGAAAGGATATTGATTGAATAAAACGGGTTTTCATCTCCTAAATACTACCATGAAACGGTTTTGGATTAGGCCAATAGCAAAACAATAAGAGAATAGAAGCTCATTTCGGAACGGTAAAAAACTCAAATCCACGGAGAAGTTATTTGGCTAAGCAAGCGAACAACCACAACCCTAAGGATATGAGTAGCCATTCACAAAGACCACGATAAGAAACTGTTAAGTTCAACGTAGAACAATAGAGGTGGATTCGTTAACTTCGTAGGTAGGATGAGAATACATTAGAGTGATCATTACCGAGTGTTGTACAGTCTACCTTTTGAAATCCTACAGGACAAACAAACACACAAGGGTTGAGAAGTGTACGGCGAAACCAAAAGCATTGTTGCTTTGGTACGGCTGATTATCTGTAACGGGTTTCCCGCATCTCCCACTCCAAGTCCTCCATTATGTTGTTATTGTTGTCGTTTTGATATCATGCTTGATCACAAACCGATAAGGTGCATAAAAGACAAAGGTACAAGAACTTCGGTAGGAAAGAAACTGTATGTATTTCTTACAAAACAGTTTCAGTTTTCAATTTTTACAACCATCACCATGCACTTTCGTGCGCCGGTTTTTTTTGCTGTCTTTTGTCGGCCCATTTAGATATTAGAGAGCAGGATGAAGATTGGAATGTTAAAATCCAACTCAAACAGAAGGTAGACAATTCACATAGACTAGTGTTAAGAGAATAATGAATAGGTGCATGAGCGCCACTGTTTACGATACTCAGCCATATCACTCGGTGCCTCTGACCATCGGTGACCATCATCTCAGGGAGCCTTACGGGACCTATGTGACCCAGTCTCCTGGTTAGGGTTTTCATGCCCTCATGCCAGGTCTTCGTTTGGCCTATCTCATGGGTTGCATGGGGCTGAGGGTCGGTCCCGAAAAACAGACCATCAACAAACACACCAGCGAAAAACGAACAAAACCGAAATTCAAAGGCCTTGCGTGACAGATCTCCAGAAGCTTACACACGGATGCTCCCGCGTTGGATCTACGCCCAACTGCTTTGTGTGTCAGAATTCTGAGTCGAAGGCTCCGATTAGGATTCCCCGAGAAAAACCCATGAATTCCCGCCGCCTTGTGGGTCAGACTTTTGAGCCAAAGGCTCCGGTTAAGGAGATGCATACTGTTTGCGCCACCCATCGGATATCACTCAGTGTTCAACTAAGGTCAATGAACCAGAAATTTGCAGAATGTTGAAACCAAAAAATCCTCTTCACTTAGCCGCATTTAATTTCCGCACACTCTAAACAGATCGGTCAACAAGCTGCCTTAGCTAGAATCCTTGAAACTTTCAATTTAGATGTATGCTGTGTCTCCGAAACACGCTTACCAGATCCTATTTCAATCATCTCCTTGCGTTCTCCAGATCCAACCTCATCCTCACGCTTCACTCCGTGCGTCAGGCAATTCGACATCCGAAGCTCGCGGTGTTGTTTGAGTTTGGATTGAGCTGTGTCAAGACTTTTAAGTCAAAGGCTCAGGCTCAGGTTCCCAAAGAAAAACCCCCTTCGTCGATGTGGGCTAACGCCAAATATGCCGTGCCCCAAAGTATTATGGAAAACCATCTTTCTTGTTACACAACAGTGAAGATTTATATCGGAGGTGGTGAACTCCACAGTAAGAGGGAAACAATATTCACGCAGGATAGCCAGTATTGAACAGGAGTTACGCAGAAGAAACCGTTTAAGATCCATAGCGGTACAGGAGCATTCCTTAAGGTACGGTGTTTTCAGTAAAAAACAGGACATTTAAACCCTGATGAACACGTACCTAGATAACAATAATCAATTTCTCCTTTTTTAAGAAAAGACAAACTTCCCTATGCACAAATTAAAAACGTTCCCAGGGATAAAATTTTGTGGTTGAATTTCTTAAATTTGTTACAGAATTATTCATGAAACCGTAGGTCAAAAATGGATTCCTCGCTTACGAGTCAGCTCATAAGTAGAAGAAAAATTTGGAGAAAATCTGCCAAGCCATTACATAGGTCATAATAAAGCCATTACCAAAACACAAAGCCATAATGAGTAGCAGTGGTTTATCTTACTTGGAGGCAAACAGGAGATCCGGCTTGCTTGTAACGGAAAAGACGTACGAAACCGTCTGACGTGGCAACAACTATGAAGTATTCTGCCTGCGGCGTGATCAGTGTGCACAGTGCGGTGACTGTGAACGGAGGTGGGACATGCTGCAAGGATCGTGAACGAAGGATCAGGATGACAGCGATGGAAGAGAACGAGTCGATAACTGATGGAAAATGCAGATGCAATAACTGGAACAAGTAGAGTTGTGCTGTAAAGAAGGCTCAATTTGATTGACAGAAAATAAAGCGATCCGGGGATAAGAAACAAACAGTAAGTTCAATTATTACTGGACATTCGTGTGGATACTGCTGTTTGTCATATATTCGACATCTAATATCACAAAGATGATAGAGCTGGCTGAGTTGTCAAAACGTTTAAGACTCTTATGTAGACGAGCGTTTTCGATCTCCTTGAAACAAGAAGAACCATCTATACATCAGTTGGTAATTAAACGAAGTTCCGTGCATAATTCTATTGAGATGAGAATTTTATGAAAAGTTCGAATAAAGAGTTATCCAAGAACCTCCAAACAGGCCTTCATACAGTACCCACATTTCAAAACCTTAAGCGCTCGCCAAAAGTTTAAACAGATTGCTCAAACTAATGGTTTGACTAATAACAGTGTAAAGGTTATCCAATACAACTGGTTTGATACGAGCGCTGTCAAGGGTAGTTACCGCAAATCACCTGATAATTGGCGAGCGAACTACATCAGACAGGTAGTGTCCGAATAAGCAATGCGAACAGTTACAATAATTCTAGCTCATCTTAGGAATCAAAAGCGGTTAGGATAACAAGATGAAGTCCCTCATGATCAGTAAAAAATCACTGGGTTGAGAACTGCGCAATCATTTTCGGACCACCGCGGTGATGGTTCAATTGGACGCAATACTCCATCAAGAACAATCAGTAACCAGTAAAACCTGAACTATACATTCAGGCGTAAATTATCGATAACCGACTCGACGAACACAATGATAGGTTCTTCTGAAGGTTCACTTCGCGTGGCGAGAGGACAAGAGTTTAGTTGCTTGGCCAATGTGTGATATTCATATGTATTTTCACACGACTGTGTGCCAAACAAATCATGGTATAATAATCTCTATTAGAAAGAATAATGTTCCATGATTGGATTGTGGGCGGAATACTGCCAGATTGCCCAGGCCAAGGCAGGTGAATCTTCTTGAAGAATCCACAACCGGAGCCTTCGGCTAGCCAAAGCCTGACCCGCAAGGCAGCGGGGCGGTGTGCGAAAACCGCAATCCACTTTACAAGCACTGATGATGTCAGCGCGGCTGGTGATGAAACATTTGCAAACAAATTACCAAGCTCGGCGAACGGGCGAAATGGAGTGCTGGAACTGTTCGCCTTATTTTACTTCATTATGCCAACGCCTTTGGTTTGCTTGACCATCGCATTCTCATTCAACGTTTTGCTGAATGCGGCTTAGGACCCGATGTGTTAAAAATTCTTGTAAACTACTCATCTTTTAGGACGCAATTTACCTCAAGCAATGGTAAAACGTCGTCGCCTTCTTATGCTAACTCTGGTGTCTTCCAGGGAGCCATTTTGTCCCCCTTCTTTTTTCTCTGTACATAAACAACCAGCATGTCCCTACCAACTTTACTGCATGTAAGTATGCAGACGATGTGGTGATTGGGTGCTCCTCCAATACTGTTGCTTCTTTCCACTAACTTCAAAGCAGTCTAGACGACGTTTTTAGTTTCTATATCGATCACTCATGCTTAATGTTTCCAAATGTGGCGACGTTCCCTTCAGCTTTGAATCTGGCTCCCGTTATCAAACTATCTTTTATGACTTACCGGACCTCGTAGTTAACAGTCACAGCATTTCCGAAGCTGACTCTGCTAAATACCTAGAAGTTGTTCTATCCCACAACCTCTCTTGGGCCTTACATGCAGAGAACGTTTACAACAGGATTGGTAAACTTTCTTTTTATGATTTCAGGTTTAGGAAGCTTGCTGTTCCCCCAAACGTAATTTTCAAATTCGTGGTAGCATGTATCCTCCCACATTGGCTGTACTGTTCACCTGTAATTTTTCCCGGCCTAAAAGAAAAAGATTTCGTATTAATTTCCAGGTCCATAAAACTCCTATCCCGAAGTAATGGCATAGCCAGATATGTCCTGGTTGATTTTATTGTGTGTAAACATATCCACGCATGTGAAAGAACAGCCGACAGAATCTTGAATAACGAATGTCACTGCTTGTACAAAGAACTTATTAAATCCATGTCAAACCCCCGTACCCGCTCCAATTATAGGCTCCTTCCCGCACGCACCGTCACATACAGAAACAGCATCTTCCTTTTTCTTGCTCGCTTTTTACCGAATCGGGCACCAATTGACAGGTTTGGTTGAACACCTCATGAATTAGTTTATTTATTCATTTTAATATGTCACTATCGTCTTCCTGTTTGCAGTCGTTTTTTATTTGACCTATTCACACTCCGATGCCATCTCCCCAATCCCACCGTATTATCGTGAAAAAATCACTGAAAATTGACCCTCCGGGTGCATAAAGCTTACTTTGACTTGATTGGTTGTGATGTTCCATAGTTGACTGGAGGTGCATTGGTTGCGCAGTGCTGACGGTAACCAACATCATTGAAGCCGTTCTAGACTCTTATGAATGTAACAGGTAATTATGTTCAAATTATTTATGTTCAAAACATGCTAAATGACAGTATGTTCTCAAACGAAATGTCGGATCACTTAAATTCCATGGTACCTATTGGTGAAATCTTGCGTATCACAAACGACGATTTCATGGATAGCGAATTAGAAGCAAAATACCTACCCAGATATCGCTGAAAGTTTTGTCGGCAGTATTGAACATCTGGATCATACAGGCTTCATTCAGCTCAGTGACGACCAAGAAGCCCGAGGGTCTGATGAATTAAACAGAGGGAACGGGGAAAACAGGGGTGCAATGATTCGGTGACAGATTGATTAAGCGAATAAAAATCGTTCAGTAAACTAATATTTGCAATCAACACGTACGATGTGCAGGAATGGTTCATAGGCAGGATAGCGCCATAAGTGTCTTCAAAGTAAGCAAACACCAACATCCGCGGATCAGTTCAATAGAAACCATCTTCAAACGTAATGCACATAACGTAAGCTACCGGCTTGCGAAAAAGGATGATGGGGATGCGACAAGAATGATGATAGAAAGGGAGACTTGGGCACGAATGAGAATAGTCGGAGAAATAGCTTACAGAGAAATAGAAGAATACGAATGCATTTTTTTGTTTCACCTTACAATTCTTGTTTTTGGTGACCAGGTTGTGTTTGAAATGTCCCCATTGGTTATTGACAAGTGAGTGAAGATTAATCATTCGGTGTATCATGCGACAATGTAACCAAACACATTTAGAGTTATTAGACCTCGAAAATTAGTATGCCACTCACAGAGAAACCTAACAAAGGAGAAACCACCATCTAGTGGGTTTTGCATTTAAGTAAGTAAAATCCAGAAAAGCTGGTGAATAACAGAAAGTTGTTGAAAGTAACGTTGCAGCCACCTCAGATAGTCCTCGTTCGCAATATAAGTAATCGGATTCGACATGACAAGACAATAAAGGCCAAACACAGATCAGCCGTTGCCCTGCACGCGTTATCTGAAGGACATAGCATATTATTTCACGAAACGCAAGTGCTCTTTACAGGTTTGTCTATCCGTGCAGAATGCTGTTGCGTGGAGTTACTGTCAATCCATTCTACACCCAACTGCGTGAATCGGAACGATAGTCAAACCTTCCCAAACGTATGGCAAAGACTATTGAACTCGACCAAAGGCGAAACCGTGCCCAGCGAAAATCGATTCCAAGTGCTCTCTCACACTCACGTGCATACATACATAGGCTGTTTCACATCATTTAGTGATACGTTCACCTTGCATGATGACCGGTGTTCCTTTGCCAAATCGATTCTGATTACTCATAGATTGGGATACTGCGGAAGAAGACTAGCTGAAGTGGCCGAAACGTTGAGTAATACGCACCACCTGTTCAACAACGTTGTGTTATTCACCAACTTTTCTGGATTTTATTAAATATCAAAGATGACGCGCAAGTTCTTTGATCGCATTCCTACAGTATGGTACTGACATTACAAAACTAGCATACCATTTATTCGAAATAAACTTCATGCAACCCGTGAAGAACTGAAGTTCGAAGAATTATAAAGAAGAAGTATAAAAATTGCTTGAAAAGCCCAATGCATGCGACTTTACACCAATCCCTCGGAGACAATCACAAAGCAAAAGACCTACTCTGATTGAACACTGGTGATTGGAAACACAGGTTCGATCCACTGAACAATATGACCATCTGCCAGGGCAGCCTTTGACAGAGAACGGGGACCCGTATCCTAGTCGAGAAAAACAACACTCATAAATTAACATAATAAGAAGATAGACCAGAATGGTATATTGGCAGCACGCGATACCTGTGACAATGCAGGACAATTATCTGCGGAAACGGTTGAAGATATTTTGAATGTTAATCACACCGTGAAGGAGGTAATGAATTTTTTTATATAATTTGTAATTTTGAAAACACAGCGATGTCGGTACAGGTGAAAATAAGCCGACGTTTCGGTTACCGTGGGTAACCTTCATTAAGGCGATTTTTCAATCGTTTTCAAAATTACAAACTATATAAAACATATCACATGGCGCATCGATTTTTCGATACACTCCGAACGTTGTTCGGATCTGACACTCTGAGGTAATGAATTCATCGTGAAAAAGCATGAAAGTGTTGCACACCGTTGTTATATTTTTTCGGTCCGTTAAACAGTTCAGGTGACAGATCGGTGGGATGCTGNGCTACAAATAACCAACTTTCGAACTCAACCAAAAACGTCTTCAACATTAGACTCAGCCTCAAGAAAAACAGACCACTAAATCCAATGATATAAGGGGAAAGTTGTGAATAAAAGCAACTAGGCGTTGGCTTCTTCAAAAGTAAATAAAGCAGATTTGATCAAAAAAGTTTCCGTTCAATCACGCAAGAAATTTGACGACCTTTGGAATTTTCATTTCAAAATTTCTGCTTTAATTACTTTAATTCGCAACATTACATACAGCTGTGAAGTTCTCCACGGAAATCTCTAAAATCAACATGGTTCCGAGGCGATTCTTACAATATGAATTTAAGTTTCCACTACAGTGTGATGGCAAAGGAAATAAGCTGAGGTTCGTGCACCGACTCTCCAGGTCACGATCAATTTATAACGTGCAGGAATACGATAGCCTGCTCTGTTCATGAAAGAATACATTCGCCCTACTAAATACCCTCGGTTGAGAGAAAAACAAACTTTGAAGTTCTTTGAATCAGAAAACAAATTCTGCGACCTTAGACTTAGTATCAGAGCATATTATAGTTGACTTTGAACGGGCAATGTTAGCTGCATATATATCTCGAGAACTGGAAAATTCATAGGGACTGTTTGGAATGCATATTGTGCTACAACGCAGTGTGAAACGTAAGATAACGGGAGCGTCACGTGTGGCTCCTAGTTCAGATGATAGAAGGTACGTTATACAGAGATGTAGATGGAATCCATGTGTGGGTTCCAACGTCATCAAGGTTTATGTTCTTCGCATAATTGAATACTGAGATTATATTACGTAGCACTCATGGAGAGCAACTTCATATAGGCGGGGGCTAAATGATCTAATTAGATCAATAACCTTTATTGCCTGAGTTTGAGTCTCAATTTACTTAGTCGATAATCAATGCTGATGATCCATTGGCCTCGGTCAATACTCATGCTTTAAAAGTACTTTCCCTGAGTGATTCATTCAAAGCATTTTTCGATGAAATCTTAATGAAGAACTTTCTATCACAAGGCGATCCTATCGATTTGAAAGAGTGAATAACTAAAACCAAATTGGTGAACGACGGACAGTTGGTTCATATAAGGTGGTCGAAGATGTGTAAGACCCGGCTGCGGGATTCTCCAGTTGCAATAATCAGCAATCCAAGTAGGGGTCAGAATGTATCTCTCACCCTGGATGTATGGATCGTATCTGAAAGAGATGAGATCCAAACGAACTTCTAATGAAATGCAACCTTTGCAAACGGCTCCAGCGCATCGCAAGGTTGGGTTTTGGCTAACAAGGTACATAGTTCGTTAGAAAGATGCTCATACGGCGATTTATTTATCAATGTATGATGCCGAACCAATCAGGAGGGGGAAACAACTGCACAACGTTTCTCAGGAACTACATTCCCTTTGTTTGATGAGCACACATAATAAAAACAGAAAAAAACATCTATGATCACTCACTTGACCATTCAGAAGTTTTAGCATTTCGTTAACCAACTTTGCACTCGGGTAATTGAGGGCAAAAGCAAATCGACCCAATGACATGAACGGAACCGTCCACCTGTATCAGAAAACAACAACAACATTAGTATTACATAAGAGCTCTCAATTTTGACGTACATCGATATTCAACAAAATTTAGGTGACCCACGTACGACGGAGATCTAAGATTCTAAATCATGTGGATTTTCAGCGATGCTCACTTCACTGTAATACACTGCACAACGATGACAAAGTCGTATGTGTCAGCGACAAAAGTTTTATAACCACTCCCTCCCCCTTAGTTTTTGCAGTAGTAGTTTAGCGAAAATCCGGAATAAGAAATTCCTATTGCATACCTTCTATTTGAAAGGAAATAAAAAATAATGCCTCCACAAAAGTTCCTTAACTCTCCCCCGGGGGGAGGGGAATAATGTCTAATAATAACATTGTTATCATCTGAAGAAGCCATTCCGTTGTAGAACTTTGAGACAAGATTTGGGTATACCTTCTACGGAGTTCCGTTGTCGCCAGATAACGATTTTCATCTAACAGTGGTCGCGAGTTCATCTATCGTTTCTTGCATTCGCAAATGGTGATACAAAATTTGGTATGGGCTACCTCAAAAGTTCTCAAGTAGGTCGGGATCTAGGGTAGATGCAAAATAAGCCATCATTCTAATACCGCAGAAAGAAAAACAGTTACTGATCGGCCGTGAGTTGTGAACTGTGGCATAATCCTGCTAGAATACGGTCCCTGTCAGACCAATGAACACCGCTAACGACCGTAGGTAGTTCCCGTGTGCAAACGTACGCATCAGAATCATGAACGCCTTGTAGAATAGAAAAATCACTCGGATCTAGAACCAAAAATGCGACTCATACCATCATTGAACCAGTCTCATTGCTCTGTCGACTGAAATCTTGAAAGCACTTTCATAAATCACATAATTAGTAAATTCACATACCCGGCCATTATTTTCATCAATGAAGTGTGCCCTTTTATTTGTTCGACCACAGAACTTGAATTCTAGCCAACAATAAACGGGCCTCTACTGAAGTGATGTGAGCGACATGATTCCTGTCATCCTTTGGTATCTAATGCGTGATGCGTGCACCAGAGACTTCTCCCACCGTCGAAAGGAAGCCCCAGGTACCCCGCTCCCACGTCTATCTAGCGGGGTTTTTGACCGGTTAACTGCCCTCACCGTGTTTATTTGCTGGAGTGACCTCTCCAGGGGCGGATGTGGATAGGAGGAAGCCAGGTGCCCAAGC